CAACATGTGTTTATGGAAGAAGGGGAGGAAAGCCCCTGCCACTAAGCCAGGTGAAGACCTCAGTGTCTGCTTCAGGTGCTTATTCTCTGCCGGTGCCTTCACTCCTCTAGAAAAAGTCGAACTTCTTCAAAGCACCCTCCATATTATCCTCAGAGAAAGCAGCTTGGCGTATCGCGCTCCAGCCCACTGCAGTGCTGGTGCAGTGTGGTACAATGCATGCTGCCCCTGTCCCCAGCAGCATCAGTGCTCCTGAGAGCTTACAGCCAGGAGAGTCCAGCTCACAGGTTTTCCATGGCATGACTCATGAGTAACATATGGCATGTGGCAGCCTGCAGATGTTTCTTGCAGCCGTAGAAAGCTAGAGCTGAGGTGGGCAGGGAGAGCACAGCAGTGTTGCCTGCAGCGTATGACTCCTTTTGGTGCTTCTCCAGGCTGCAGAAAACTTGGGTAGCCACTAGCCACTTGCTGAGTCTGCCACCATCTCTGGAGGTGGTTATGGCTCACATAATCTGCAGTCCTGCAGCACAACTAGAGCACCTTGCAAAAAAGTACTCTTGGGTCTCCAACTTCTCACCTACCTCACTGGGGACACCAGCACAGCTTTTTGGACTTTGTACTGTGCCAGTGTGTGGTGTCTGATTCTTCCTAGATCAGTTGCCTGTCCTGCATGAAGTTCTCACAAATTCTAGTACTTCCCATTGCATCCTTCCCCTTGTCCATGAGGTGAAGCAGGCCTGAGGACTGTAAACAGACACAGTGTGGGCTGTGTCATGCTGCCCCATGTGGTGTTTGGGGCCAGGTAGGGCTGGGCTGATCCCTGCCTGCCCAGGCAGTTTGATCTGTATGTGTTTCCTAACACGTTACTAGGGCAGCCTTCCATGATACAGCATTGCTGTGAAGCTGGTTAGTCTTCAACGTGTGCTGGGCTTCTGTAGGGGATGCCAGCCTGTCTGTCCCTGCCTGCTGTGGAGCAGCCCATGGGGCCTGTTTATCACACACAGAGCAGGACAGATGCTTGTGCAAGCATGCCTGCCTGCCTTCAGGAACTGCTGTAACATCCCTTCTCCAGCCTGCTCAGAGTCATCCTCAGCCTGGTCCTGAGGCTCAGCTTTGCCTCTCTGAGCAGAGCGCTTTGGAGGGTTAGATCCACTGAAATTGCTGAGCAAATAGAGCCCTGAAACAAGCCTTAGCTCTGGAGGCAGCTGTTTGCCAGCGCCCTCCTCATGCCATGAGGGTGGGTGCCACAGTTCTAGGGGAAGCCCCAGGGCTGCTCAGTTGTTGGAGAACATTTTGGGAAGTACCTGGGGAAGGAGGAGCGTGAAACCAGCCAGAGGCTGGTCAATGTACAAGAAGGGAAAAGGGATGTTCCCTGCAGAGTGGGACCTGTATTTGGAGGTGCAGCAAAGTAATAGAGGTGGGTGAGATGAGGCTCACAGCTGGAGTCATTGTGGTAGTGTGTAAGAAGGCGGCAGCTCCCCGATATCCTGCTACAACTTGCAGAGGAGATGGTGTCTGTTTCTGCCTCCTGTCTCTGTGCAGCTCTGCTTACTCTGAGGAGCTGGGAGAGTGGTGGCTTTGGGTGCTGCTGGGGGAAGCAGAGGGACAGGAGGGATCAGAGGACCCATGGGGCGGGCAGGCCAGGAACAGCCCTGGGCTTGCTCAGCCCTTGGGGAGCCCAAAGGACTGTAACTGGTGTACAAGTGTTTTGGCACTGACTGATATACTTTGCTTGGCTTCTACAGCCCGTCTCCAGAGGAGGGAATGGGTGATGAATTCGACCTGATGGATCACTCAGATCTCTACATCCTCGACTTCAGTACGTGAGCACTCCGTGCCCAGCTTGCGCCTCTCACCACAAGGTGCTCTGTGAGCAGGCCCTGCTGTGAAGCACCATACCTTGTCCTACATGGCTCAAAGTGCCTGCCTCTAGGAGCCAGACAGCCGTCTCTGGCTGGTGTACATGGCTTAAGGCAGAGATGCAGCTGTGCTTGCAGGCCTGAGCTGGGCTCGTGGCTCTTCATGCACTCCTTCACACAGACTTCTCGTGGGAGCACGGAAAACTGCTCCAGCTGTCCCTGGTGTGCACCCTGCCTTGTCCCTCAGAGGGGTGGCAGGGGTGCTCTGCCCTGTTTCCTGTGGTGCTGATTGCACTATATGCCTGGACTCCCCCATGGTGTCCAGATGAAGACTGCCGTGGCTAACTGCCCTCTTTCCACAGGTCCCAGTCTAAAGACTCTGTGTAAGCTGGCAGTGATTCAGTACAGCCTGGACCAGTCCTGCCTTCCCCACGACATCAGGTACTGTGTGCCTTGCTGGGAGGTCACCTCATGGATGTTCCAGCCCTGACTGCGGGCTGCCTGGGGCCCTCCTTGGCATCATGCAGCTTTGGGGCAAGCTGGGCTGGAGACCACAGCCGAGGCTGGTGTGCAGCGGAGCTGCTCCAGCCCTAGGCCTTATGTTTGTGCTTTCTCTCAGTGTATCCCATTGGTGTGTTACAGATGGGAGCTCTCGGCCATGACAACAAACAGCACCATCAGCCGTCCCATCGTCTCCTCCCAGGGCTGACGCCGGCTCATCCCTCTACCACCCTGCCCTCGCCCCTCCACACACTGACCTCTTGCTCCACTGCCTGCATGAGTTTTTAGCCCTTTCAAGCAAGGAACATGTGAGCTCAGTCTGTCTCGCCCCAGCCAGGCCTTCCTCTGCTGTTGTCACCCTTTGGGCAGCACAAGTGTGCAGGCAGAGCGGGCCGCCAGGGAAGAAATCGACTCGCCCCAGCAGTACAACTGTGAACCCCCCTCCTTGCTGATGGCTCCAGCGTCTCCTGCCTTCCTTCCCTTTGCCTGCGGAGCTGCAGCTGTGCTGGCCTGGTCCCCAGCCACTTTCCAAGGGCCTGAATCAACTCTTACCACCAGCCATGGCCTTAGGTTTGGCCTCGGGCTATGAACTATTCCTGTGCTGCCTTGAGAGAGCAGGGACCTCCATGCCTGCACCCGTCAGCGCTGACCAGCTTCCTGGCACCGGATGGCAGGCCCCAGCCCCAAGCTGAGCCTGATGTGGGGGCCTGGGCCCAGCTTGACCCTCTGCCCAGCTCCCATTGTAAAACAGCAACTGGGGGGAGTTTTATAAACACCGAGGCAGACATGGCTTCTGCTGCTCTTTGTGTCCTAACAGGTGAACTGGGGGGAGAGGAGGTGTGGGAGGAGAGAGACCAAACCAGGTGCTTTCCCCACACAGCTGTGGGCCACCAGTGGCTTGTGGCACCTGTGCCTGGTATGAGTCACAGCCCTGGCTGGGGTGGGAGATGGGGAGCTGGTCCCCCACAGCAGCACTGCCCTGGCGTGCCTGCCTCGGGCTGTGCTGCCCTGCGAGAGGGCAGGGAGGAAGACTGTGCATGTCTCCTGAGCTGTGCTGCCTCGGGAAGGTGGGTGCAGGGGCAAGACACTGGTACGGGTGCCCACAGCTCCCTGCCCCAGGGAGGAAGGTGGAGGGATGCCTGGGGCAGTCTTCCGGAGGGGCACAGAGGGCTGTGCCCAAGACCCTTCCCGTGGAGGTGAGGTGTCTGATGTGAAGAGGAGCTCTGGTGGCAACTGCAGCGGAGCTAAAGCGGGGAAAGCAGAGGAAGCGCTCAGGGTGTTCCCTGGGATGACAGGGCAGCCAAGAGATGGTGATGGCTGCATGCCAGGAACGGGTGGCAGAAGGCCCAGGCCATCTCCCCTGCCCTGAGGGCTGGCATGTAGCCAGGGTCAAGAGCTGCTCATTGGAGCCACATGGGGTTGCAGAGGTGCCTGGGCTCCTCAGCCTGCAAGAGGTGGCCAATGCGGGTGCAACAGAGCAACCTGGAGTGACATGAGAGCAGTGAAAAACCCCATGGCAAGAGAACAGAAGGCACCACAATTTCAACAAGAGCTTGTTCTTCATGTACTGGCAGCACCTCGTGGTGGGTGATGAGCATCAACGGCAGGGCTGGGGCCTGATGGGAGCCCTTGCCCAGCACTGAAACACCAAGCTTACTCATCTTGTAGGGTGCCAGGCATCAGGAAACACCCGCGGACCACCCAGGCTCACTGTGCTGTGCAGCATGGTGCTGAGCACAGAGGCTCCCAAGGTGCTTCTACCTCTGTCCATGAATGGCTGTCACTGGAGCTTCTCTAGGGAGAATCGCAAGCTCTGGGACATTGAGTGGAGACAGGCTCTAGAAATGGTCAGCACCCCATGCCAGCTGCCTCCTGGAGAGCAAACCTTTGGTGGGGAGGCAGCTTCTCTGGGAAGAAAAGGAGGGACTCACTAGGGAGAGGCTTGCAGGCACCTCGCTCCCCTGCAAGGGTTCCCCTGGGTTCAGGGGCACTGTGGCCCTGACCTCCTTCTGACAGGATCCTGCTGCAGACCCAGGGATAGGCCGCTGCTCACCACCTTGGTCCAGATGCCTCCAGTGTATTTTCTTGACATGTAGGCCCCCTTTCCCGGCACCCAGCTCACTCATTGGTGATGCTGGAGAGCAGCCCCTGGGCAGGCGGACTAGCCACAGGCCTTTAGCCCATCGTGGACCTTCTGCTGGGCTGGCAGGGAGCTGGGCGGATGCGTGTCCCACTGGGATATCCCTGCTACCTTCATCATCACCCCCTCCTGAGCGGCCAGGTTTGTTTTAAAGACCCTGGCTTCCTTTTATTGCTTCCCCTCTCAGATTGCAGCCGGCTACAAGGGCTATTTTTAGCTGCCTGCCTTCTAAAAATAGCCCTGAGCTGTTTGGAGTTGCGTCACAAGAGGTAACTCTCTCCATGGGCGGCTTGGCCCCTGCACCCCAGGAGGGTACAAAAGGAGGCCGGGAGCAGCGGGGTCAGCAGGTTCAGACGCAGCCAGAGGAGAAGGAGGTAGCGGTGCGCTGCCAGCTTCAGGCATCCTACCGCCGGCACCATGACCATCTTCTGCAGCCACTGCCACAGGCCTCTGCAGGCAGAGATGAGCTGCCTGCCCAGGAGGAGCAAGCAGGCACCCAGCGCCTCGAAGCCGTTCAGGTGAGCTCCCTCCCACCCACGGGGCTGTGGTGGCCTCCTAGCTGGGGAAATCCCCAGGCCAGCTTGCGTAGTGCCTGATGGCCCTTGGAAGGGGCTGGTGCCAGCTTGGGACAGCAGGGCTGCCAGCTGGCGCATGGGGATGAGGTGTGGGAGCGTGGAAGGATGGAGGAATTTCAGGGGGTTGAAGAATAAAGGCAGATTCAATGGGCTGAGGCTTGTGTTCTGGCATTGGATGCAGTTTCCATCCTTATGGGGTTTGGTGGGGATGTTGTGTCTCTTGGGCTTCCCCTCCTCCCCTCCTCCTCCCCCAAAGCACAGGTCATTGTCCAACCTGGCCTCTCGTGAGACAGGCACTGCCCATGCCAGTGCTGTGTCCCCCTGGGTAGCCACGAGCACCTCTGTCTATGCCCGCTGCACTGAAACAGCCACCAAAGGTTTGCTCTCCTAGAGGCAGCAGGCATGGGACAGGTACTGAGCCTCTCTATGGGAGCATCTCCACTCCATGTCCCCAAGCTTGCAATTCTCCCCATAGCAGTGGGCAGGGAATGCTGTCCACCTCCCTCCGTGGACACGTCCCCCCAGACAGCTGGCTTTGCAGGTCAACCAAAAGTGCCTCCAAGGCTCGCCGGGACCAGATCAATGTGGAGCTGCAGGCGCTGCGCTCCCTGCTGCCCATCTCCGCGCGGGAGAAGGAGCGGCTCTCCTATCTCCACACCATGGCCCTGGTGTGCCTCCGGCTGCGGGGGGCTCAGCTGTTCCCTCCAGGTACCCATGGCACTATTGCACCCCGCGTGAGCTTGGCTCTGCATGGGCCACTCTCCTGCCCCATGGAGACAGCGCTTCACCCTGTGCTCCCCCTGCAGACTCGGCTCCTCCTGTGGGACCAGCCCTGGGCACAGAGCTACTCTCCCTGCTGCCAGGGTTTCTGCTTGTGCTCTCGGCCAACGGCAAGCTGGTCTACATCTCGGAGAACGTGGCTCAGGTCCTGGGCCTCTCCATGGTAAGGCCTGCCCACCGGGCATTTGTGGTCACTGTCCCTGTCCTGGTGCTTTTGTTGCATGTCTACGCGTTGCCCCAGCAGATGCTGGCCTGTGGCTCTGTGCTCGGGGTGCCAGCCTACAGCCCACCGGGGCAGGCACAGTCTGCAACAGCAGCCCCCTCTTTATCAGGTGGAGCTGCTCGCCCAGGGGGACACGGTCTTCGATATCCTAGATGGGCGAGCGCATGAGGACGCACGCAAGAAGCTCCTCCTCGCCCAGGAGGAGCCCGGGAGGGGTAAGGGAGGCCTCGTCTGGCATCTCGCAGTCGCTGCTGCCCTGCTCTGGCCCTTTGTGGCTGTGGTCAGAGAGCCAGGGCCAGCCCTGAGGGGAGCGGCAGCCCCCGACCTACTCCGGCCGGTCTGGTTTCTTGCAGAAGTCACGTTTGTCAGTGAGATGCGCACATCCAAGGCCTTCCGGCTGCAGCATGGGGGGAATCGGGCCATGGCAGTGCGTGGACGCTTCACAGCCCTGCACTGGCCAGCCTCCCCCGCCACCACAGCCTTCCTGGCCCTCTGTACACCGGTCGCACGGTTGGCTGTAGACGGCGATGCTGGTTCCCAGGACCATCTATTTCAGAGCACGCACATCCTAGACATGACGTTTACTGATGTCACGGAGAGGTGAGGAGTGCCTGCTTGCACCACAGCCCCCACTGTACATCTCAGACAGCAAGGACCATTTCTCTTCAAGCCTGTGTGAACAGCGAGACTCTTCCAGACATTTCCCAAGCCTCTTCCTTCCCTTGTTTGCAACCCATTTCTGTACCCCTGTTGTTTTGCTCACTTCTCCATCATGCAACAGCTGCTTTTTGCTGACACGGTGCAGACCCTGCAAAGCACTCGGTCTCCACTCCCCTTGTCTTCCCCAGTGTCACCTACCACCTTGGCTACCATAGGGAGGAACTGATCGGTCAGTCATGGTACAGCCTCCTGCACCCTGAGGATGCTGACCTAGCAGCTGCCCAGCACAGGGCTGTGGGTGAGTGTCAGGCCTGAGAATACGTGGGTTTTTTTCTCTGGCTACACCTGAAACTTGGTTGTCTAGGGCAAGAGAAACAAAGTGAATTTAGCCCTGCCTGCTGTGGGCTCCCCGCTCCAAAAAGGACAAAGCACAGAATTCATTACACGGCCCATACACTGCCTATAATAAGGTCACAGGTAGCTTCCAAGCTTGGGAGTAAGGGCAGCCTGCTTTGCCGCAGTGCAGAGATGAGGAGTAAGCCCACTTGAGCCCCAGCTTTTTGAGAGGGCAGGACTACTATGGACCTGATTGTGCTACTTGTGGCTTTTGTTTCGCTGAGGCCAGAGCAGCAGACTGACTGTAGACCCCATCAAGGCAACCTTTGGGGTCCACAGGCAGCATGCCACTCTGCTCTAGCAGCTGTGGGAGGCGCCCCCCGCCGCCCGCCCAAACACGCC